TGAACGGCTCACCTATTTGTAAAATCTAAGTGACTTTAAACACAATAAAAACAGCACTATGTAGTTGGATACGACAGACATTACATTTTCTAATTACATAGCTTTTGCACATAGATTTTCTTGATGGATGATGCGATGAGATAAATAATTTAGAAAAATTGTTCTCCCATTTTTTGTTTGAATAAGGAAATGACTCCCTTATTTTTCCTGTCATTGCTGCCGCAACACTTCAGAAAATAATATTCAATTTAAACTAGACGAATTACATCAAAAAATATTTATTTATAATTTCTTCTAAATATCTCGCGGGCCGGATAGAAACTTTTCGCGGGCCGGGGGTTGTCCACCGTTGCTCTAGTTTGCCACCTTTAAATAACAAAATGGCACGCCCCTTGACTAAAAGGAAAATGGCGAACGACTATTCAATTTTCTTTAAACAGCGTCCCTACAGCCATGTAGGATATTCTAGCTCATTGGTTTTGGTTTACATCCAGTGTGCTACAGATTATTATTGTAGTTTAATTTCTGGATCTTTGTTGATAGTATGAGTCAGTTTAACACCATCCGTGCAGGATACTTAGGCTTTGAATGATTGCCGAAATAAACAATTGTAACTATATAATTTTTATAGGTGGATGGGGTTAACTCCACTGAACACTTCTGCATAATCACAGTTATAGCAATGTACCTTCAATGCTCATCGTTACTATAAAATTATGGGTAAGTGACGATTTTGATGTTATGCAACGACCCCTTGCAGTAAGCATTTAGTCTCTTGATCTGATTTGCATTTCGTCTCAGCCACCGTTGCTTTCAATTATGTTAATAATGCAGAATAATGTTTAAATATAGATACATCAGAAAAAACAAGGTTGCATTTATTTCCGAAAGAATTTAACTTTTTAAACTTGATTTTAACCTAGCTTCTGGAAAACAATGTCATGCAGTTTGAACCATTTAAGTGACTTCATGCATCCATGTACAGTACATTACACAAAGGAACTGTTAAATGTTATGTCGACTGACAAACAAAATACAAAATTTTATAGACAACTGAAATAAGAACTTTTATTAATAATATATCTATCCAAAGTAAATAATTCATATACAACTATAGGAAAATGTCAAATCATAAGCCTTCGAATATATTCTTTCTCCGCAGACCTCGCTTCTTCGGTAAAGTGGACAGGATACACCCTATCACAAAATGGTTCCGGCAAGAGTATTGACTTAAGTTTACAGAGAACAGTTTCGTTTTATTAAACCGTATGCCACCGTTCCGCTTCGGAAAGAGCCAAGTGTTCGCGGAAAAACGAAACGAGAACGTGCAAATTAAAATTCGGGTGGAGAATAAAAGTTACGTTCCTTGCAGAATTACAGTATGGTTTACTAAAGCTAAACGGCATCGATAACGGTGGAGACACCATCTGTCATCCTACGGTTCGCTAAATATCGTGGCAAAAAACTGATTACTCCCAAATTTTATACATAAATTAATCAGAAGAAACAAATTTACACAGTATGACAGATGGAATGATGAAGAGAACCGTCGATTGTGGATATGGCCCGCAAATAAGAATCGAAGTTAATTAAAAGTCGCAAAATATATAATTATTCCAGTTTCCCTCTCTTCCCCTGAACCTGTTTAATTTTTTTTTCGAATTTTATAGAAAAAAATATAGAAAGAATATTTCCGAAATTTCTCTTCAAAAATCTGGACAGTTGTCTATTTTAAAAGGATATGCAAAAACAATGATCCCCTATTTGTTCCATTACATTTTTTTTTTCATTATAAATGGGGAATTAACTTATTTAATATCATTAAAATTAATAATTTTATTCAAGCAAAAAAAATTTTATTCAAGCTAAAAAAAAACTTTGTTTGAAACATTAATATTTCGAATTTGGAAATAATTCAAATATTCGTTCGAATTCGTTAATTTTGGATTTATTGTTTGTGTTTACCCGAAAAGTGGAAATGATTAAAATATTTATTAATTGCTAAAATGTATACTGTATGTGCCATTATTTACACTTTATACGACCACGACTAATTCGCTGCTCTTCCCTCGGGGAAATGAATTTACAAAAATTCTTTGTTAGTATGCATTCTCATGGCGTATCCTGGGTACCAAATTTAAACTAACCGTTTAGGCTCTACGATTATCACCACCACCAACCCATCTCTATTATATTGATGGTTAAGTCCGAGCCAGGTCGTGAAGGTTTTTACCGTCATATGATTATTTATAGTGTACTCATGTTGTACAGTTCCCAACCGCCTCATACGGAGCTGCATACTCAGTACGTTTTTCCTTCAGTGTTCTTTTCTTTTGCATAATATAAGTAGTGTTCTTGTTATAAATCTTGTGAAAATACTTACAATGAACTACTACAATAAGTAAAAGACACTGCACTATTACGATGTGTACAAATTGTGCACTATATGTATCATTCTGGATAACAAAAGTATATTCAAAGAAATGGCTTTCAAAATTTAAATTAAGTACGGTCATTTTGACTGTCATGGGTTAAAACTCTTCCTCTCCTTTGCAGTTTTACATGAGAATACTCTAGTTAAAGGGTGGGCAACCTTTTTTATAACATGGGCCAGAATAAATTTTACGTTTTTTCCACGGGCCATAGTAGTTAATTGACAACTTGTGACCTGTAAATTTTTAGTTTGCAAATATGAAATAAATAAAAACAAATTAATTACTACAGTCGACCCCCCTATAACACTGTTGATTATTCCTTTTTATATGAATTCCTTGTTGTATGAGTCACTTAATTTTACAAATGCGTGTGCCGAACTGTGAACGGCTCACCTATTTGTAAAATCTATTTATAAGTGACTTTAAACACAATAAAAACAGCTCTATGTAGTTGGATACGACAGACATTACATTTTCTAATTGCATAGCTTTTGCACATAGATTTTCTTGATGGATGATGCGATGAGATAAATAATTTAGAAAAATTGTTCTCCCATTTTTTGTTTGAATAAGGAAATGACTCCCTTATTTTTCCTGTCATTGCTGCCGCAACACTTCAGAAAATAATATTCAATTTAAACTAGACGAATTACATCAAAAAATATTTATTTATAATTTCTTCTAAATATCTCGCGGGCCGGATAGAAACTTTTCGCGGGCCGGGGGTTGTCCACCGTTGCTCTAGTTTGCCACCTTTAAATAACAAAATGGCACGCCCCTTGACTAAAAGGAAAATGGCGAACGACTATTCAATTTTCTTTAAACAGCGTCCCTACAGCCATGTAGGATATTCTAGCTCATTGGTTTTGGTTTACATCCAGTGTGCTACAGATTATTATTGTAGTTTAATTTCTGGATCTTTGTTGATAGTATGAGTCAGTTTAACACCATCCGTGCAGGATACTTAGGCTTTGAATGATTGCCGAAATAAACAATTGTAACTATATAATTTTTATAGGTGGATGGGGTTAACTCCACTGAACACTTCTGCATAATCACAGTTATAGCAATGTACAGTACCTTCAATGCTCATCGTTACTATAAAATTATGGGTAAGTGACGATTTTGATGTTATGCAACGACCCCTTGCAGTAAGCATTTAGTCTCTTGATCTGATTTGCATTTCGTCTCAGCCACCGTTGCTTTCAATTATGTTAATAATGCAGAATAATGTTTAAATATAGATACATCAGAAAAAACAAGGTTGCATTTATTTCCGAAAGAATTTAACTTTTTAAACTTGATTTTAACCTAGCTTCTGGAAAACAATGTCATGCAGTTTGAACCATTTAAGTGACTTCATGCATCCACGTACAGTACATTACACAAAGGAACTGTTAAATGTTATGTCGACTGACAAACAAAATACAAAATTTTATAGACAACTGAAATAAGAACTTTTATTAATAATATATCTATCCAAAGTAAATAATTCATATACAACTATAGGAAAATGTCAAATCATAAGCCTTCGAATATATTCTTTCTCCGCAGACCTCGCTTCTTCGGTAAAGTGGACAGGATACACCCTATCACAAAATGGTTCCGGCAAGAGTATTGACTTAAGTTTACAGAGAACAGTTTCGTTTTATTAAACCGTATGCCACCGTTCCGCTTCGGAAAGAGCCAAGTGTTCGCGGAAAAACGAAACGAGAACGTGCAAATTAAAATTCGGGTGGAGAATAAAAGTTACGTTCCTTGCAGAATTACAGTATGGTTTACTAAAGCTAAACGGCATCGATAACGGTGGAGACACCATCTGTCATCCTACGGTTCGCTAAATATCGTGGCAAAAAACTGATTACTCCCAAATTTTATACATAAATTAATCAGAAGAAACAAATTTACACAGTATGACAGATGGAATGATGAAGAGAACCGTCGATTGTGGATATGGCCCGCAAATAAGAATCGAAGTTAATTAAAAGTCGCAAAATATATAATTATTCCAGTTTCCCTCTCTTCCCCTGAACCTGTTTAATTTTTTTTTCGAATTTTATAGAAAAAAATATAGAAAGAATATTTCCGAAATTTCTCTTCAAAAATCTGGACAGTTGTCTATTTTAAAAGGATATGCAAAAACAATGATCCCCTATTTGTTCCATTACATTTTTTTTTTTCATTATAAATTATACTATTCACATGAACATAATCGGAAAAAAGGTTTTTTAAATATCGATTTGTTTTTTAACAATAACTCTGGTACAATATATCAAATACAGAAATTCAACACAAGTGGCATTCACATGTTAATGAAAGAAACTTTGTGGTATGTTTTTTCGGTTGGTCAGAAATAATTACCTTAAATCCCCCAAAAATTATACAACTGTTCATGAGGAGGGGGAGAGACTATTCTTTTCAAACCACAGACTGCCATGATCTTTGGAGTTGCGTGACAGTAGTATTTGCTTCATTTCAACAGCAACCCGAACCCCGCGGATTGATTGGAACGCCGGGATTGATCTTGCCGCTACCCTGGACTGCGTCTCCTCCCGACGTCGGTGGTCCCATCCGATTCTTGATCTCCGCTGCCATTGTCATGAAAGCCTGTTCCACATTTGTTGCATTTTTTGCACTGGTTTCCAAGAAAGGGATGCCGAGCTGATCTGCAAATTCCTATGGGAGAAAAAAGAAATGTGATGCACAATTCGAGAAAGGTTAACGTAGTAATGATGTGGCGAGCAATGTTTACCTTGGCTGTTGTGTAGTCGACAACTTTCTTTGCAGACAGATCACACTTATTACCAACCAGCAGCTTATTTACGTTTTCGCAAGCATAACGATCAATTTCCTGAAGCCACTGTCTGACATTATTAAAGGACTCCTATAAAGAATTAAAGAGTATCATCATTAATCTGATAATTTGGAGCTTTCATGTAAAAAGGAAACAATACTAACTTGATCAGTTACATCATATACTACAATAATTCCATGAGCACCTCTATAATAACTTGATGTTATAGTTCTGAATCTTTCTTGTCCAGCAGTATCCCACTATTAATAGAATTACACATTAAAATATTTATAATCAAAAACTCATAGTACTTAAAAAAATAAAAATAATAAAAAATAGAAATTAAAATCATTAAAAATTCAGATATAATTTATAGAATATGAGCTGCAACCAAATAAATAACAAAGATATTAAATTTAATTTACTAATTTATTTGTTGAAAGCAGAATATATAAATTTGAAGTAATGAATTCATTAGGAAACTAAACAAAACACAGTAAAAACTTAAAAGTTTTATGATAAAATTATAAGACACTTTACGAGTAACTCATGATCCATGAGGTCCTAATACTTGACCCCTGGAGCTTTGGTATAGATTTTACTTTCAACTTTGTGCCATTATGCAATTCTACTTAAATTAATATTCGTGACCAACATTCAAACAAAATTTGACCTGTGAAGAGATAAGAAGCAATACACTAGTTTTATTCAAATAACTGTTCTAAAATTAAATACAATTTGAAGATTACATCATTTTTCTGTGTCTTCAGGAAAGTTATTAAAAGTACTATAAACTACAGCAGTGTTCCGCAACTGGTGTGCCGTCACATGGTAAAAGGTGTGATGTGAACTTTTACATATTCTGTTAATTTCAAGTTTTATTTATATATTTTTATCACAGTTGTTGTGTTTCTTATGCTTGTATTTCATTTTCTGCTGCAGCACTGATGAAATAAGATGATGTTTGTTTATTTTTACAAGCCATGCATTTTTATGTATTCTAAGAAATTATATGTAAAATTAATTTGCTCACAGGTAGGTGTTGATATCTGTTTAATAACAATAATAATAGGTTAGTGGCATTACATAATTCTATTAATAGTAGAATATACGTTTTTGAGGGGAATAACATTTTGGTGTGCCGTGGGTGAGTCATGGGTGTGCCGCAAGTAGAAAAAGGTTGCGGAACACTGAACTACAGTACACAGGTACCACATTTATTTAAGAAAAAATCTTTTATAAAGTTAAATTTTTCTATTAAAAAGGTACCAGTTGTTATTTTTCAAGAATAATTTGTTTTAAAAAAATTTTGTAAGCATTTCAGTACGAACTGAAATACAAATGAAATAACCACACCAATATAATAACCAGAGAAAACATACAGTTTAAAATATTAACTATGGCTATTATTGAAATAAAACCAGCATTTCTAGTTGGCATGTATTATTTTGGTATGTAGTGTACTAGCAGTTACAAAGCACATTGATACTCAGCTGCCTGCAACTCCATTCATGTAGACAGGTCTACATGAATGGAGGGATGTTTCTCACTAACACTTATTTGAACAAGACAATGCCAAAAATTGGCTTATAGTTACACTAAATATTTTGATAAATTCACAGATTAAAGTCTATATACTTTGCATTCACTCAAAAAAGTTCTGTATTAATTAATTAATAAATACATTAAAAACCAAAACACGTTGCTATTGTATCTGTATCAATATGATGTAAAGAAAGCAAGCAAATTCTGATGAAATGTAACATTAACTAAGCAACAAGATAATTGAAACAGATTTACCAGTGGTTTTCTTCAATATAAATATAGTTAAAGGATCAAATCATTAACAATATTGAAATAAAGTTACTTTTTTTCTATCACTATTATGCAAGATTTTACTATAAATTACAAAATCAAAATCATACTTACAATTTGAAGTTTAATGGTTTTTCCATCTAGTTCGATTGTTCTGATTTTCTGTAAATAAATGAAGTTTGAGAACAATATCTATAAACTTGCATTAAATATTAAAAATACATTAAAATTACTTTTGCGATATCTCATAATAGTATAAGTTGGAATAATGGATTAAACACTCCAAGAGGCAGGAAACACTTCATATTTAAAAACTTACTATTTAACATATACTGTACTTCGAAAGGAATTTAAAAACTGTTACAATGTTTGTATATTTTATATTTATTGGATTATTTTAATTGCTAAATTGGAGACCCTACATTGTAAAAAAAGATAAATGTATCTAATTTTGATATTAACTTTAGATTTAACTTTAATCTTACTTCCAAAGACCTTTATAAAGTTAATAAAAATGAAGCTGAAAGTGAAGCTGCTTTTTAACTAGTGATGGGACAACACCAAAATTTCTCCCTATTTAGATTCCTTTGAATACTTTCTAAACATTGATTTTAGTTTAGAAAAATTAACAATTTACATTAAGTGCACTGTAATTAATTAATAAACAAATTTAAGGATGGAAAATAATTTGCAAATCCAGAAGGAATCTTTCAAAACAAACCTGAAAATTCTCCATTCATATGTGGATATACACACTTTTATTGTGTGCTACAAAATAACTTGCAAGTTTATTTCTGATAAAGTTAATATTGCAACACTACCCTCAAAGAAATTACAGTGAATTCTCTTTTACTCTAAGAACTATCCCATAGTGTCATCTAGGATAGTCTCTTTCAAAACTGCTTTGTTGGCCGACATAATGACGGGGGAGGGGAAGGCAAAAGACAAGATGCACTTCTTTTTTCATACTTCTTGCAATTGGCATGCCTCAAATGCTTTAAATCCATCATATTTAACACTAATTGAGGTTTGGCAGATGATGCAATGAGCCAAACAAATATGACGAATAAACCAATTTTTGAATTCATTCGAGCCATGTCTAGACTGTCACCTTAAAAACTTGCAGGCATAAATAAAATAATTATTTAATTTTGTATTATTTTTAATAATTTTTAAAACAGGCTCTTACACCAAATCAAAAATTAAAAATAAAATCAAAAATTAAAACAATGTTCTTAAAAACCATTTATAAGTTTTGAAATATTCAAATTAAATTTAAAAATTAATTATATATGCATGTTATTTGTGTGTGGTAATGATGGAACATATATGTATTAGAAGCAATAACATGATAGACACCACTTCATATATGGGACATCAGGTAGTCTGCTTTGCAGACATGAAAGTTTCCAATAAAGCAATACTTAATATCTTGTAAAAAAATTAATTATTAGCAATTTGTTAACAATGTGGAAGGATCATTTTGGGAATCAGAAATTGTGATGAGATTTGCTCGATTTCCTGAAAATGCTAATTTTGCTGATTCCAATTAATCATACCATCACTATTTTTAACAGCTGCCATAGCAAAGTTCCTTTCTCCAGATAAGTCAGTTTGTACAGCATCAGGGCTGCAAAATTTAGAAGCAAAAGAAAATTTAATATAGTTACAAGTAAAACATTCTTGAAATTTATTAGTTGGCAAAGACAACCATTTCTGATGTGATATTTAATTTATATAGAAACAAACAGTAACATGGGAGGATTGTTTCTATCAAAAAGGAGAAAAGCAGTTAAGCCAAATGTCACCAAGGCCTTGGTGGCATTTGGCTTAACTGCTTCTCTCCTTGGTTTAAACTGTTAGTAGTAGTGATACACTTCAGTATTTTATTTTTACTTATAACAAGATATGTTTTCTTATAACAAATAACTTGGGCCACTAAAAGTCATCTATTAATCACTTATCAACAATGTATTGATAATGTATTTTCCACACATCCAGGAAATAGTCTGTCTTGAGACCTTTATCCTACAAAAAAAACATGTTACGACATTATATTATGCCAAACGTATCTGATGGAAACTATATACAGCAACTAAAAAAAAGTGGTAAAGTACACGTGCTCATTAACATTTCAACAGACTTAAATTTTTTTAAAAACTGATAATTGTTAAAAAAAACACATCTGTCTTGGTTTGTTTTAATGCTGCATTTTTGCCTATTGAATACAACAACTGCTTGATGTTGACATCATCATGTACTGTACAGCCTGTTCGTTTATGCTGAAACTTGTCAGGAAGGTCTTCACAACCTGATGGCCTTGCTAAATTTCGGCACTACACTTGGACCGGTGTCAGAGTATTTATTCACTAGAAGGCTACTCTTCAATTGTATCAGCCTGTTGACTCCTCATACAATTATTCAATTGCATGTATTCCAGATGTAACAAGTGTGTCATTCATGACTACAAATTTCCAGAAACACCCAAATATTAACTAAGCACAAAGTTTATGATAGATAAAACTAGAAAAAAATCCCTTATTCTAGGTTATGGATCCACTAAAGGAAGTAAAATTATATTGATTTGGCAGGATCTGGAAAAAAATCTGTTATTCCACAATCCATTAAAGTGAGATTTACTGTCTAATGTAATTTTAGTAAGATAATTCATGTTATGTTGCTAATATGGTATTTTAACAAGATAATTGTATCATATCACTAATATCACATAATTTTTAATAAGCTAATTTAGATACATGAAAAATAAAGTATATTCCGAAGTGTTTCAGATTTCTGTTTCTACTAAATTCAACAAACCTTTCAGAACTCTACATCTAAATGGGTTTATAAAATGGCAATAAAGTACTTAGGGAGTATTAAGTAATTATGGCTCTAATCCATATCAAAAATTTATGAACACAGTGGATTCTCATTCTATCATTCCCAGATCAATAGTTTTCCCACATCTATTGTTTGTTTTCTCCAGTCCAAAATAAGGATCTGTATGTATAATGTTAATTTTTCCCTGTATTCTTTGGTCCAAAAAAAACGAAAAAAAAAAGGTAACCCGCAACAAATGGTTTAAAAAAAAAGGCAACAAAATGAAAAAACAAATTTCCCGCAACAAAAAAAAAAAGCACATCATATTTAACAGCTAAACCCTTTGACTACAACTAACCAGTTTTATTGTGATTTTTGTCTACTGCTTTACAAAATACTGTACTTCATTGGCAACATTTCCCATTAAAGCCTGGCAACACTGGTAAAAACTAGCACTTGTCTGAGCATTGCCATCTGTACAATAATTATCATATTTATACAATTATTTCGTGCACTGTACAATGTATGATAATTTCACTAATGAATCTTACTCGGAAAACAGGTGTTAATTTTTGGAAAAAAAGATTCAAATCAATGTTTTTATATGTATCATCTTTTCATTGACATTTTCTGTCTTTTTCACAATTAGAGGGCTACTAAATTTTCTGAAGTTTTTAGATTGTCTACTGCCGTATATTATAAATTATAAGGTGCACCTTTCTCATACTTTGAGACTGCTAACTGTTACTTTTAGACCTACTCAAAATGCTCAATTGATGTGAAAAGACAATTTGTGCAAATAAACATTCTGTTGAAATTTCATTATGCTTCTACTTGTACAAAATGTATTAATATAGTACCTATCAAGTAGTTTCCATGTAGTGAACTGTCTGGAACTGAAATATTTTTGGCACGGAGTCATGACCACTCGGGGATTGAACTAAAAAATTTAGATGATTGCAAAAATTTGGAAAAATTATACCATACTTATAAGTATAAACCTTAAAGAAAGGTGTTACATATTTGTTAATGTTTGATGTAGAAATTGTATGAAAAAACAAATTTTAGCTTATGCCCATTCAGAGGTTTATTTTGCATCATATATTATAAGGAATAGTCATGAAAACTTCATTATAAAACACGATCTAAAATTTCTTTGTTGTAAGAAGGGATTGCAGATAGAAAGTTTAAAAGATTCTGATATAGGGCAAACCTTATCAATATTTCTATGGATAAAGGGTGTAAGTATAAAGGATCGAGATGGATGTACAGTAATTTTACGTAAAATACAATAATATCAAGGAGTACATACTATGATTTTCTCCCGTAAGGTTGATAACCCTGCATTGTCTTGAAGTAAAGATCATTTCTGGACAAGTGAGAAAAGTCAGAACTCTTTTCCGTAAGAGAATCAACACAGTAAAATTATAAATTTTTATCACTTAACATTTTCAACACTTCTACACTACTGTCTTTAAATGCAAGAAAAGAGTCAATATGTTAAGTACTCTTACCAAATAAAAACAGAACAAATTTCAGTATTCTTAATTTTTTAAAATGTAGAATAAACAAATGTCCATGCGCATGCTCCATAACGTTTAATATTACAGAAAGCCATCACATAAACCTATCACTAGAAAATACACGTTTTCATACAAACTAAACAATAAAAAATTGAAGTCAAATTCCCCGTGTCAATTGTTTTTCCCCCAAGTCCTGCCAAAAGCAATAGATCGAAAATCCACTGTAAATCTTACTGCTTATAAAAATCTACTGATACTAATTAAACTGATTTATTTCACTTACAAAGTCCACTCCAATTGTGCTGATGTAACTTTCTGTATAAGTGTCATCCTGAAAATAAAGACAAAATATTAAAATTAAATAAGAAAAAAAATGTTTTTAAAATATGCTTATGAGTGGTTGCAAATCAAACAAACTTACAGCAAAACGAAGCAGCAAACAGGACTTTCCAACACCTGAATCACCAATCAATAACAATTTAAATAGATAGTCACTGAAATTAAAAATAAAATTATAAATAATGGAAAAACATAATTCAGTAGGATTAAAAAAGTACATGCAATTATAAAGTAAAGTAAAATTTAACAACATTAGACAAATGCTAGCATTAAAATTGCAATGGCTGAAATGCCAAGCAGCTAAGATGGCAATCTACTGCTGTGGTCAATTGTGGACAGATTAAAAACGCCAGGATTTGTCAGGTCACATTCCTTCGCCACCTAGCCACCCAACTGTGCCTGGCCGAACCTATAATCGATCTGCTAAAAACAAAAAGCTTTCATAGCAGGCAGGTTTAAAAATTAAGATAGATAAAGTACCCTAATAAAACTCAATAGGTGTGAAACAGGAAGACGAAAGAAAAAGATACATCAAGAATACCAATCAAGAAATAGGACAAGTCACTTGCTTACCAAAGCCACTGAAAAAAAACCATTGAAAAAATAATGATATAAAAACACACTATGAAGAATTCATGCATTAACTGTAAAGGTATCCATAACTGAAAGTACATTTTAAACCAGTAAAGGGTTATTAACACCACATCTTTATTATTGTACTTCACTTATGGTGTATTTTTGCTTCATTTCTTGTTTAAATATATTAGTTTACCTCATCTATTCTCACTCCATTTCCAAAGCCGTTCTAAAACATTGTAATTTTAAAATTATACAAATTCTATATTTCATATTCCAATTCATTATTGATTAGATCTTTATGACAGCTGCCAAAACATATACACTAAATATTTCTGCTGGAGGAGGCTAAGTTTTTTCAAATTACATCAAAAACACAATTCACAAAAATGATGTTCAAATGATCTGTTGTAATATTATAGTGTAACATTGAATTCAACCTCAACTGTGCAGTAAAAAATCTTTTCCTAGAAAATTAATTTATATAAAAAGTCACTTTAGTACATTTTTATAAAAAAACTATTTTCTAAAAAAGTTCTAATTACAATATTTTAACTAAAAAGTTAGACAATTCCACAATAGTTCAANAAAAAAATAGTTCAGATTTTTCTCACTTTTTATCCAACTTTTGAGGGTCTTCAAGATTCCACACAGGCCAATTTAGGAGGGACAATATCTCACCAAGCATCACACTAGACCGCCGGTTCCTTTGACTCTTTTACTCCTACGGAAGAAGTCTACGGCTCCGTACAGTTCCCAACCGCCTCATACGGAGCTGCATTTGTATCAAAAACCTTTATGTACCTACACTTGAAAACAGCTTCAATAATCTCCATGTTCACAAATTAATAAATAAAGTGAATAAACAATTAACTCTACTTGTCTGGTTACTTGTCTGTTCATTTTATTTGTATTTTTAATATTCTTATTTTCTGTGCGTGTTCTGGAAGCCTTGAAGACAATGAAAGTTGTTTCAAGGTCATTTGCAAGTGAAATCTTGTTCTAAAACTGCGCAATTTCTTGCCATACAAACAAAACTATTGAATTGTGGGAAAAATATTGGAAGAAATAAGAAATAAATTTAATAATACCAAAATTCGTTAAATTCACCTGAGTTTCAGCTTTGCATATCTGAGAGAGTTCCAATCCAGAAGCATCGTTCATGCCAGCCAAAGACCACTTTGCCAGCTCTTCAATGTTCGAAGCATTAGGATCTTTTACCTTGGACCATCCTCCTACCATACGCGAATGAACGTAACAAGGAAGCAATAGAAACAGTAATATCAAATAGGAATTCATTGTTTTAAATCAAGACAACGGAATTCTCCCAAACGATTTGCTAACGTCCTATTTCTGATCATCGCCACTAGGGGCGCCTCTCAAAATGGAAAACAAATGAAAAAAATTTACAGTCGATCCCCTATAACACTGTTGATTATTCCGTTTTATATGAATTCCATGTTGTACGAGTCACTTAGATTTTACAAATACGCGAGCCGTTCACAGTCCGGCACACGAATTTGTAAAATCTAAGTGACTCGTACAACATGGAATTCATATAAAACCAAATAATCAACAGTGTTATAGGGGGATCGACGTATTTTAATGTCTAATAATAATACTGTTTGAGTTCTTACAATCCTACTTTTATTCTATTTTTCAACCTCTAATTAATTATGATAGTTAAAAATCTCCATTTTTGTAACTCATCCCGAAATCTAATTCCCTCTCTTTTACTCCAGAATTGAATCTTCTACTAACTTTTAATCCTTCTCTTTTTCTCTAATCTGTTCCTAGCCTTTTCTGGCTCGAGTATAATTACTTTTTATCTCATTAACAAATACGATATCAATTGTGATAACATATACCATAGCTACTTTCTCAATCCATCTTACAATAATTCATATAATATTAAACAATAAAAAAAATTCTCAGGAGATACTGTATGTATACAGTATATTTCAAGAAATACAGGGTGGAGAATAATAGATTCCTACATTTACGAGGCGAATTTTAAAGAAATGGAACAATAATATGGAAAAAACTTTTTATTCATTCAAAGTGCATTTAATAAAGATGTTTTTTGGTTAGGTTTTAAAAATGATGTCATCCAATGGGATGTGGTTCCGTATCGATGCCCAGTAATCGGTCCCGTTAGATGGCATGAACGATAAGTTTTCGATGCTGTGAACGAGAGAACAACGGAGCTTCGTCGTGGAGGCTTTTTTCAAAAACGCCGAGTTTGTGACTGCGACGCAGAGGGCATTTTCGATTTTGAAATGGGTCCAAAATTTAATGGCAACAGGATCTGCCAAATCCTAAATTTCCAGTTTGGTTGGGCGTCTCAAATCTGTGAGGACACCTAAAAATATCGTTGCACTCAGAGCGTCAATACGGCGTTCTCCAACGCGTTCTGCTTGGAAACATGCCTCTGCACTCTCAGATATCGGCTCGAACGATAAAGCGAATTTTGCACTGTGACCTATAGTTACACCCTTACAAGATTTTGTTTGCTCAAGAATTGATTCCAGTAGATTGTGGAAGACGTAGAGTTCTCTACGTTTTCCACAATCCTTCTAGCGATATTGTGTGGAGTCGAGACGAAGCATTTTCATCTGTCTGGCACAGTGAACAAGCAGCATTTTCTTTATTGGGCTGCTGGAAACCCCCGACAACTCCACAACGACCTCTTCACAGCCCGACACTTGTTTCGTGTTGTTTAGATTATAAGTGAACTTGGAGATTTTAAACTGATTTGTTTGGGTTCTGATTATATTGCCGCCTCCATATACTTTAATTAGTCCTTCTATTAGTCTTTTTATGTCCTAAGTTTGAAGCTGTTTCTTTGATTGTATTAATTTCATTGATCCTTCCGGCACGTTAGAGCAATATGAATTTGCTCTTTTAATGAGTGCACGAAAAGCGGACAGTTTGTATCCGTAGGGGTCGTTCGAGTTAGCCGGAATGTATACTGGTTTTATGTAGATACCAGTTGTTATACACTTTATTTATATTATTTATTTGTTAATTTATCTATTTTGTTTTAAATTTAAATGAAAAAATGTTCGGACGTTGTGATTCATTGTGGTTTAAATGTTTTAAAAAGACGTTCGAATTTCGGTTACACCTATCATATTAGGTCGCAAACGTTAGTGTTTTGATTAAACGTATCTTAGCAAGAAAGATGTATTGATGGTTTATTAAATGTTTAGTATTTAAAAACATTTTCTATTGAAATAATCTATATAAATAAACATTTAAATCTTCGTTTGTTCAATATCTTAAATCTCCGAAAGTTCTTAACCGATTGCTTTGAAACTTTGGCAACGTTGCATTCGAATACGCGCGTTTTTATATTATATAGATTTCGAAATACCTCCCCCTCGCGGGAATAGGAACAAAATTAAGGCTTACCGTGAAGAACTGTTGTTCTATTATTCTTTTTTAGATGCGGTTTTTTGCGTTTTAATAGAGTACGTCAAGAGAATGTACAGTACAGTAAAAAGGGATTTTTCCAAATTCCCTCCCGCGGGAGTGTTATACATTTATAATAGATACATTNAATTTTGCTACAGTGTGAAAGTAGGGTCCTAAAGCTGTCATGAAAGTATTAAAAGGCCATAAATTAAAATCTCAGAAAAACTGTCAACTAAACAATATTTCCTGTTAAGCATTTATTTCCATTGCAATCATATTTTCTTTTCACTAATACAGAGTTTGTCATTTTTAATTACTCAAATAAAATATTTGACCCTCGATTCAGATTTAAATCTCAAATTCAATTTTGACCCACCTTTGGCAAAAGGTTTGTCGTCTCCAGTCGCACTATATAATTCAGAGTTTTACAGCAGTAAAATGAAATTCAAGGACAAGAAAAAAACTAGCAAACAATTCCAGTTTTAACTACTTTACCATTAAATTTTTATCACTTGTGACCTATAAAGAGCCTATTAAAGTAGCAACACATTTAGATTCTTAATCTTCCTGTTATTGGAAATGTAAACAGCAAACTTATGCGCAGTATTGGATTTCTATTGCTGCAATTTAATTAAACTATGCACTCTGAGCATCAACAAACTGGAAAATAAGATATCACTTTTCAGTATTATTTGTAATATTAAGAATTACATAAAACTCGGCTCATAAATACCAAATTTTGTTGTTTACGAGATACCAAAGTTTAAAAAGTTTTCAAAAAAATAAAATATTCCTTCTTGGCAAGATTTGTGTTAATAGGTCAAAAAGAAGAAAAACTCATTGGTTTGTATAATTTGATTTAGTTTTTTGAAGATAAATTATGATAAAATTTTTGACCTATTAATGCAATATTTGTAGATTAAATTAGGAAAAAGTATAAATAAATCACAATGATTTGTCCTAAACTACAGTATGAAAATATGACTAAGAATTAAGAAAAAGCTGTTCAAAATTAGAAACAATGAGGTGCATAACATGGTCACGAGGAGTTTGTGACACGATTTTTTGTTGCCATTTGCCAATACTTTTGTTCCAGGTTTCACTCCACCTTAGAAAAATTTCCTTGGATACTCTCTCATGTTACAGTATGTCAGATAAGTAA